GAAGATGCCGATGTTCAATTGGATTTATTTACTAATAAGCGTGGTCCATTTGCGGATTCTATGGCTATGCAAACTAGGAAAAAGCGAACACCAAGTAAGATTTAATTAGTCAATTGTTAATATCTTTTTATCATTAACCTTTAAATTACTTACCTTACTAATATTGTTTTTATAGCGGCTTGGTGGGAGCGCTTGGGCATAAAACACCCGAGTTAACGAAGTTTGCTATCCGAGTTCTAAGCCTTACTTGTAGTGCATCGGGATGTGAGAGGAATTGGAGCACATTTTCAATGGTAAGTAAATATATTATTAGTATCTTAAGTGTCATTTTTGCTTAAGATGTTTAGACTTGAATAATATAATTGATTTATTTGTAGATTCATACAAAAGAAGGAATAGGCTTGAACACAAAAGGCTTAATGCTTTAACCTATGTCAAGTAAAATTTGGCTTTACAACAAAGAAGTAAGAAAAGGATGGAGAAGTATGATCCTATTGTTGTGGAAGAAATTGCCTCCGATGATGAATGGATAACAGAGATAGAAGATCCCGTTCTTCCCGAAGATCTTACATGGCTTGAGGATGAGTTATTGTATAATGTTGAGGCCGTAATGAATGTGCAACCCCCGGTTTATGAAGGTGGCTCATACATTCGAGAGCCTAGAGAGTCTTCTCCTCCTCCTCGCAAGCGTACTCAACCTCGAGGTCCTATTACATACAAAAGAAAACGGGGTAATGAAGAATCCTCAAGTAGAACTAGAAGAAATGTGGAATATGATTCAGAAGATTTTTTGATGAAATGATGACATACTCGACAAGTTCATCTAGAGTTGGCAATGAAGAGGATGATGTTGCCTTTTATTCAGATGAAGAGGATTTAGATGAATGATGTATATCTTTGTTTGTATTTTGATTTATATGAAGATGATTTGGATGAATGATTGTTTTCTTTGTTTGTATTACCTTTTGAATGATGAATTTGGGTGATATTACCTTTGAATGATGAATTTAAATGATATTATCTTTTGAATGACTATGGATTTGAATGAAAAATTGAGAATGGATGTTTATTTTACGTAGTATTATTTTTTTATACAATTATATGTATAATATATAAAATATATATATATATATATATAAATTAAATCCTGTAAGGCTTCGCCTCACGCCTCATGCCTCACACCTAGGCCGGGCTTCGCTTCAGACGTCTCGCCCACACCTCACGCTTTTAATACATTGATATAGGTATATACTGGTAAATGCTATGATATGGTTGAGTATTAGATTGCTGCAAGACATATCCATATGTATACTACCTGTAAGGAATTACTGTGAATGTTTTGAAGTGCGAAGAGGAACGCAGGACGCACAAGTAAGTTTAGGTAAATTTATGGTGTTATTTGAAATGATCGAGTTATGGCATGACTATATTTATACTTTAGGCGACTCCGACCTTGTCGTACATGTTGCAATGGTAGGCAACTCCGACACTGTCGTACAAGTTGCCTATGAGTTGTACATGTTATGTTGAGATGCATTGAGAGCTCATAAACTTGCACCCCGGTGTTAGTGCTCTCGCACATGGCCAGGGCACAGTCCTTCACGTGATGTTCACCTCCCGCACCTTACGCTCACCTTGGATCCAAGGTAGGTACACAATCCTATCGTACAGACCACAATAGGTGGTTCCGACTCGTAGGTGACCCGCGATTATTTGCATAGTCTTCATGTGATCGTAGCACTTGAGCGTATTTATTTACACCTAGTCTTCTCGTACAAACCACTTTAGGTGGTTCCGACTCGTGTGCATGTATACTTATTGAGCTATTAGCTAGCATGTTATTGAGCTATTAGCTAGCATGTTGATGAGCTATTGGCTAGCATGTTATTGAGTTATTGGCTAGTAGGTTGATGAGCTATTGACTAGTATGTTGATGAGCTATTGGCTAGTATGTTGATTTGAAAAATTTTGTTTCGCTCACTCACAGTTTCTATTTTTGCACCCCTCCAGGTTCTAGCAGCAAAATTTCGTATCGACAAGGATTCGTGGCACTTTTCAATACATATGTCTTCTTATGATGTTATAATCATTATCTTACCTTATTGTACTTTACCTATGCTCTGTATCACGCATGAAATGGGTCCAAACCCGCTCATTGTGCACTCATGTACTTAAGCACTTTTAGATTTTAATTTATTCCCATTTTATACACTACCACACTTTATGGCTTCGTCACCTTCCTGGTGTCGACCAACATAGCTCGATTCGGGATCCTAGTGGACATTCCAGGTCGAGATGTGTCACTTAATGTTGAGAAAAAAAAAATTCATAGGCTTCATGCAAGTTTTTAGTTTTGGTTTTGTAGAATATGCACATAACTTGTACTAGAAGATGAGAAAATATTATACTTATATACATTAAAAAAAATTATTTTTCAACATTAATATTTTGTGCATATGCTATGAAAATACCAGGAAATTGTATTCTGGCCCTACTCACATGAGCTTCATCATTTTCGATAAACTTATGAATATGTCTCATTTACGTGTATCAAAAGTTCATTGAAGAATTTATCGCATTGGAGTGTGTATCACAAGTTCACGAAAAATGACAGAGTTGAAATTTCATGTGAGGAAATAGTATAATTTCCTCTTTTTTTTTTCATAGAATATGCACAAAAATTTTGATGTTGATTAATATACATTTTGTTTCTTGTAAGTATCATTTTCTTTCTTAAGAAAATATAATTATGAGGTTTGCATATGCTATGAAAACATGGGGAAATTATATGCTTTCCTACTCACATGAGCTCTGTCATGTTTAATGTGCATACAAATTGATCTCATTTATGTGTTTCATATTTTTCATTGGTAAATTGGTCTCGTTCGCGTGAATTATAAATTAACGAAAAATGAAAAAATTGAGAATTTTATTTGAGGAGACTATAGTATAATTCCTTTATGTTTTCATAGAATATACGCAAAAGGTTCAACGTTTAATGAAATTCAGCTCCTTTTTATTTATTTATTTATTTATTGAAAATATCAGCTATCTTTTCTAATGTACAATGATTTGTTCCAAAACTACAAGTTTTATATATAAATACTTCAAGAGCTCAATTGGAGAAAAGAACCTCCTCATTTACCTAATTGTCATGCTCTAACTAATTCCTAGTGATTCCCAGATGTGAAATTCCTTAGTGCCCTTCCCATTACAAAGCCAAGTCATATTTTTAAGTATTGATATGCTCTAATTGATTATTAGTTGCAGAATGTGCCATTCTTCCACTACAAAGTATTAAATTTGTGTATTTTCCTCTAAAGTATAAGCGGTGGTATTCATTTTCTAAAGTATTGAATTTGTTTATTTTCTTATAAAGTATAATATTATTCATAATCTACTTTTTCAACGACTTCTATGTCAAAAGCCTGTTGTTTTGTTTTTTTAAATATATCATCACAACAACTTTTAAAAGTAAGAAAATATGGCCTTGGTCTTATAACCAAAAGAGCAAATATGAGCCTTTCTTTCTTTGTTTCAACAATTAACATTAGACGAGACTAATCGAGCTGTACTTGTTGGAAAATATAGTTTGAAACAGATTCATCGCAATATATAGTCAATCTAGATTATATATGAACAGTTTTGAAAACTTGACCGATAGATGTGAGTATAGATATCAGAGAAATTTACAACGAAATTGACATCCAATTCTGTGACATGAAAGTTCTTATCTCATGAAGACTCTTCAACCTTTTTTTTTGGGTTCATTTTTTTCAACTTTTTATTTTGGGAGAGCATGAATCAGATTGTCGTGTTGGATTACACAAACAAATTATATTATATATACAATAAAAGAGGAAAAAAAGCCTAAAACACTGTTCCTTCGCCGGTGTTATGCCTTTTTTGCCCTCGAGTTGCTCTGTAAATTTAGGTTTTTGTGTGTTTTATACAGTTAAATGTCATTTTTGCCCCTGGACTTGTTCCAAGAAATTGCAGAAATCAAAAAGGAAAAAACTGTGCTCTGCAACATGATCGGCGATTTCGATTCCGCTTGGTGAGATCTGTGCGATGTTTGCTTCAGGTTCTTCTTTTAATTGCTATGTCTGTAGCAGCTTTGTTCAGTTAGATATCTAATTGTTGATTACTGGATTTTTTGTTACTGTGTTCAAGAGAAAGAAGAATAACACAAGAGAAAGAAGAAAGGTAAGAACTTTGAGCTGAGATAGTGCCCAACTCAAGTGTACTGTAATTTTATATCACTTCCAAAATTACCTTCTGTAACAGAGAAAAGGGTGATGAATTTGACAAAGTTTGATGCTTTTTAGGATCGGTAGGCCACTATTTCTATCTAACTCCACATGTAGTTTTTAACTTTTTATATGTTTAAGTTTTTTTAATATAAATTTTGAGTGATGTTTCATTCTTAAGCCGTGTTTTTTTTTTTGCTTTGCAGTTTCCGGTTTCTATTTGCACAAAGAACTTTCCGACAGGGTATAACTTCTTCAGGTGTGTGCTCTGTATATTTCTCGAATTTCGATTTCTCAAATCGCTATTGTTTATTAGATTTTGCTTTCGATCTGATTCCAATTGAGTTCGATTTCGAACTTGAATTTATATTCGATTTTGATTTACTTATGTCCTAATTTTTTTTTGAAGAAATTTAGAGATGAAGGTATTCAAGTTGGAGACTTTGAGTTCAGCTTTTTTCAAATTTGTACAACCTCTTTCTCTATTTTCGTTAAATTTCTGGAATTTTTTTGTATAATTTTATGAAGCGTTTTTTTTTTTTATTAATTAAATTACAAATAAGTATCAATGGCCTTCATTTGGTACCAATCAATCAAGTGAGAGATGTGTTGTCTGAATGTTTAATTTTGCTTGAATCAGTCTCTCCAAGTAGGAGAAAGAGAAGGATCTGAATGGGAGCAAGGCACGACATGGAACAAGCAAGCTCATGAGACTGTTAACGTTCAAGGGACTCGCGGGGGGGGGGGGGGGGGGGGGGGTGGTGACTGATCAACTGAAAAAACTGAGGTATATGGTTTTTCTCTTCTAATTCCATAAACATGCATGTGTTTACATCTAATATTAACGGTACAAGGAATCAAATAATTAAAATTTGACCTAGAAAAATATTAGTTAAGTAAGCCGGTTCGCAAGTGTGTGCAGTGCACATATAATATGTTCAATTTCTTGAAAACCGTCTTTATTTCGCAGATTAAACTGAGAAATTTGAAAAACCCTGTTTGAGATTTTGCTTGAAATCGTTGTTTGGGATTAAATAGCAGGGTCGCATCCAGTATTCCGAGAAGTACTTCAATGATATCTACGTGTACAGGTATGCTCCTTTCTGCTTCGCTTTCTTTCGATTTTTCTTCATTTTTTTATTAACTTTTTGTTTGTTTTCAACGTTGGTACAGGCATGTGGCTAAACTGCTCCCAAAAAAAGGGGCTTCTCTGCGAGGTAATTTATTAGGGTTTTCACTTTCTTTGATTGTAATATGTCCTTTTGAGAAATGCTTTGAGATTTGTTTGTGTTAATTTGGGTTTTGTGTAATCTTGGAATCTTTCCTTTTTCTTCAGTGAGATTTGGGCTTTTCGGTTTCTTTTACGGTTCTTTTGAGTGTCCATGAATTTTCAGTGCTGGGTTTCTGTGGATTTTGTTATTTGAAGAGGGGAACTATGGATTGGTTTGTTACTTGGTACATACGTTTATATGCATCAAATTATATACATTCCCTCCTACTCAAATGTTCAAATGTATTCATTTATGTATGTTTGCGCATTCACCTTCGTATACGTGTGTTAACTGCCATATATACAATACAGCCATTTAGATTTGGTTAAATGAATAATGTACATATACGAATCGGTCATTTCACACATATAGATTGATAGTTAGATTGAATCGAAATTTCGTGAATCGGTCATACACTTTACGTGATTTCTATGCGGGAATGCTGGTGAATGCCTTATTTAATTTCCAAGAAATTGAAGCTGAGAATATGGTATTTTCCTTTTGCTATGGAGAATAGTGGATTCTGTGGTGCAGTAAATATGAGGCCCAATAAAAGTGTTTTTTTCCTTCTCTCTTATATTCATCTGTTTTCAATATCGGATTGGATTTGCATTAAGGGTTTTGTTGATCTGATATTATTGATAAAATACTAGAAAACCCACCTGAACTTAAGCACTTTTAGGGTTTGTTCTGCTTTTGGTTCACTTAATATTAATCCCTGTTTATGTTTTACTTTTTTAAGTGAATGTTTTTAAGTTTTTTTTTTTGTTCTGTGTAAGAATGTGTTCAACATGGTTTCTTTTTCGCACATCCTTCAATAATTTAGATTGACTTCACCCCTAATCTATTGACAGTTACTTTGTATACGTTAGGGATGGGTCTTCTTCTTCAGCTTAGTGGGCACTGTACCTTTAGCAGAGCGTCTAGGTAATGCGACTGAGTAAGTGCTAGTTTTTTGTTTAAGCATTAAGTTATCTTAACTTTGCTAAGGCTAATTCTTAACTTTTTCATTGTTCTCTTAACTTTATGTTTTTTATTTTTGTAAATATCATTTAGTACTTTACTATAATCTGATTGCTTTATCATTTGATACTCAATAATTTCTCCAGGGCATTGGATGTTTAACTTAACATCACAAGTAAATTGCATTGGTTCTTTCCATTGAATTTGTGCTTTGGCCTTGCTCAACTGAAGTCCTTCCCGAGAAATCTGGAGCACCAGATTGTCCTGCAAGTAGCACTTGTATTCTTTCTTCCTTTTGCAGAAATAATGCATTAAGCACTTAAACTGTTAATTGATCCTTTTCCATTTGCATGTTGCAGTACTTTATGAAGACTCAAAGATGCAAATTTGTATGAGATGCAAGTTTAATCATCCAAAGGACAAGGTGAGTATACCATAGTACTACAACTTTCCATAAAGTGGTTCCAATGATATAGTTTCATATATAATACTCTTACACTCTCTTTTACTAATTTTTGTTACACCATCAATCACTCACATGTCATACTATTCACAGAGTGGTTCAAAGAATTCCAAGAGCTTCATTCTTGCTCTACTTCGAATCGAAACTGAATACTGCCTATCCAAATTTTCTCACCCTTTCATTCCTACCTCCTCCACCTCTTCATCCTTGCTTCACCGTGAATCGAAACCAAAAGTTGCTCATCCAAATCAATTTCGGTTCACTCAACCCCTAAAACCCAAATTTCTCCAGATCATTCCAAAATTCAATGGCAAACACAAAACCTAGATCCCTAAACTCACTCGATAACGTGTCAAAGGCTGGGCATCCAGTTCTCTCACATGGCTCCCGTTAAATGCAGTATGCTTTTGCTGCTGCCAATCTACAGGTAAAGCTTAAATTTACATATATATATTTTTTATTTTTCTTGATTGGAATTTGGGCTTTTTGTTCCTCCTTAATCTCAAAGTTCTGTAATTTATGCAACTTTGATCGAAAGACATGTTTTTTATTGCTGAAAATTGTTAACCCCTGTTTAGGTATTCATTTGCTAATTAAAATCACTTTTTGGATTCCGTAACTGAACCTCCTTGCTCCTCTTTTAACTCTAGAATCTTCAGTATATATGTGGGTTTTGCTTTGAATTTGATAAACCTCTCTGTGTTCGTGAGCTGATACAGTTTTTGGGTACTAAGTCAAAATTTTGTTGGATAGGAACCCATAAACAAGTATGAGGAAGTGTGTGAATCATCACTCAGCAAGGGTGATTGGCGATAGAAATTGGGTTATTCCATTCATTACTGGCTTTATCCTACTCATTACCCTCTATTTCTTAAAAGGGTTTTGGCTCTGGAAGGAGATGGCGATCGGTGAAAATGATCGGAGTTCGTTGCTGTGTGGGTGATCCCAGTGTAGCGCTGGTTTTCAACTCTGGTGATTTGTAGGGTTTTGGGGGTGTGAATTTTGGGGTATTTCATTTGGATTTCTGGGTAAGCAGTTGCCACCTCTATCAACTAAAATTTAGTTCCCTTCTTTTGTTTCTCAAATTTGTTTTGCCACCTCTATCACCTGTGGTTAATTGTTTTGCATTCTTTGTGGTCATTTTTATTCTTTCCATGGTTTCCTGTAATGCTTGGCAAAGTTTTGAGAACTAGTCTCCCCAATGTGGGAACCAAGGAACTCGCTTCCCCTTCATGCTCTGAATTCACATTCAGTCTGGAGATTATATAAACATTTGGGCATGGTTTCTCTCTAGGATAAAGCTTCTGTCTGGCTATGTATATGGAATTGGGTTTGTGTAATTAATGTCAAATAATTGAGTGAAAGAGTTAAGCTCTCCTTTTACGCAACAAACAATCCCTCTCTTTTTGTAAACCAATCCAACCAAACCTTTCTTATTTATCTTAAGCATATAAAACCAACACATTCTGTGATGGTAAAGATAAAAATGCTTTTTATTTTTTTTTAATGAAATGATATGGGTTAGTCAAGTTATAAATAAGACTTTGTTGTTGGATTATATTATAGATGAATAATAAATATTATGTGGATTTAGTTTTTTTCATTTATTTTTAAATAATTTACAGTTGCTCTCATTTATTTTTATACAATTTACAAATGAGTGCTAAATTTTGATTACGGCCTCAAACCCGCAGCAGAGCGCGGGCTTCTTTGCTAGCTATCAAACTAAATAGTCAAGAAACTGCGAACAGGGGAATTTGAAACTATGTTACAGTCGAGTTTAAAAAGTCACACTTAAAACACAAACCACAGAGAGTTTGAAGAGCAGCATTCGCTGAGGAAACACATGTATCAGAACCGAGACTTGTGGAGCCAATTTAGGTTGATATTCTCTTTGGCCACGATTATACTTACGTTGCTGAGAAACGGTGAGAAAGGTTCCCATAAATATTTTGTCTCTTCATCACAGACCACTTCCTCTAACTGCTCAAGATCCCTGACTGATGGAGGCAGCTCTTGCAACCTTGAGCATTGTCTCATGTTGATCTTTCTTAAACTACTCATTTCACCAATGTCTTCGGGCAACACCTTGATGCTGAAGCAATCAGATATGTCAAGAAAGTTTACCTTTCCAAGGTTCTTCATTGAGGTTGGAAGCTTCGACAGTTCTGTGCAGAATCTTAGCCTCAACAGTTGTAAATTTTCCAACTTTCCAATCCCTTCAGGCAAGGCAGATAGTTTATGACAGTTAGTAACATTGAGCTTCTTGAGTTTGCTAAGATCACAAACCTCAGCGGGCAATTCAATTAAATCACTGCAATAGTCGATGTTCATTTCCTCTAGATTCGGGAATGCTGATGAGATTGAGATGGAACAGTTGTTGAAAGCTTGACCAATGTTACACATGAACAAGGATATCTTCTTCAGACTCGCCAATTGTATGGGATTCTTGGTTATGGAAGGAATTGAGATGCGTTCTAATCTGATTCTCTTAAGATTTGGTAATGAACTCAAAAGTTGGAAGTTACTCAATTCAGCAGGTAAGAAACCATAATTTGTGACTATCACAGCCTTCAATTCACCCATGTTCACCACGGAATCGGGTAAAGCATGGTTCTTTGTCTGAAAATTCAACACTAAAACCTCAACTTCTGGCGTTTGCAAGCTGTGCCAATTTGTTGAAAACCCTTCATCTGCAAAGTAACAACTGTGAGTGTGGGGAGGAGAAACTAAAATGAAAGTATTATTGATACTTAATGTGCACACATGTGCGTGCGGAATGAATATTTATTTGTGCATGTCTACGTAATTGCTAAAGCGAAAGGGAGAGATAGAACAACCAGTTGTTATGGACAATAAGCGGGCCTTCATCTGCTTCTGTTCTCTCCACCATTTTGGAAGTTTGTCTCCACATATGTCAATAATCAGTCTTTTTCTATGTTCTACCGGTCCTTTTTTGTGTTGTAGATAGCCAGCTCCCGAAGAACATCATGCTGGGTAACAAAGTGCTCACTATAGTATCCGTCCCCCTCCATCTTGTCCTTCCTGGTCATGATCAAAACTAATTTTCTTAGAAGAGATTTCTTCAACCAACATATTGCAATAACAAGTTATCAGCATCAACCGGTCATGAATATAAGGGGGAAAATGGAGTGAAAATATCATACAGGAGAAAATAAAGCATGCACACCTTGTGACAACAAGATTAGCTAGACTTCGTTTGGTGAGCTCGTAGATGTTTGCAATGCACTCTATATCTGTATCTACATCATATAACTCTGCCCAGATATCAATGAGGGCAGTCGCAGGGATTCTTTGGTCTTCTGGAAATGAACCTAAGTCTAAGAAACATTCCTTGATGATTTCTTTATCTAAGGCATCCAAGCTTCGTTCAAGGCAGAGCAGCAATTCAGTCTCTGAATCAAGAATTGAAAAACCTTTGGACATTTCAAGTTCTCTTTTTTGCCATATCTCAATAGGCTCCCCGCTAAGCGATCTCCCCACCACTTTAATAGCAAGTGGAAATCCCTTGCAACGCTCAACTATCTGCAGGATAATTTTCCAAAACAAAATCAACTAACTTTTAACTTGCAGAGCCAAAATTCAAGTTACTAAGATGAGAAAATGGCTAAATAACTACATACAGTAGTATTCTAATTTTAGTTTTAGTCCACAAGTAAGTATGCTTAGATGCATGACTACTCACAGTTTTATATGGTAAATGGATGTGTTCATTCACTCGATTGTGGATGCTTTAAGTAAAGTGAATATAATTTCTAGATAATTTTCCAAAACCAAATCAACTAATTTCATGTGCGTCGCAACTAAAATGTACCTTTTCTGGAAGATCTTTTGGAATATGAGAGCTCTTATGTCCAAGGGATGCTGAATGATGAAAAAGTTTCATCGCATTGTCATGATCCAATGATTGCAAATAATAAGGGGAACCATGTCCCCGAAATTCAGACCTAGATGTCACCAAAAACTTGTAATTTTCCGTTTTGAATTGATCAAACTTCTCCACAAGGGATTCTGATCCAGGCCAAACATCATCCAGGACAATCAGTAAAGGATTCTGCCCTTCTTCCTTCAGAAAACGTTGCAGCCACGTCGCTGTACTAACTTCGTTTTGGAAAGTAGGTACTTGGAAACCCTTGCGTTGATATAGATCTTGAACAATATTTTCTAATTTAGGCTTTTTTGAAACCGTGACAAAGAAGATGTTATCCTTGAATGTATCTATCCAGAGAAAACATAACAAATCAGTCATTGAGGCGTCATTTAAATCTGCCATAGTTGTACAAAGTAAAAAAACATATACAATTCAGAGTGCTAACTTATAATATATGATATACCTTTGATATCCTTGTCTTGACAAAACTTTGTAGCCAAAGTGGTTTTCCCACATCCTCCAGGAGCAGTCAGCACAACCATTGACACATTTTCGTCCTTTAGAAGCATCATCTTCAATTCCTTTAGAGGAAAATCCAATCCAACCACGAGCGGCGGAAGTTCAGGTACTGCACACCAAGCTTCACTGTCGGGTTGTTTTGGTATCACCATATTCGATTCAATTCTGCTGACCACCTTCTCTACATTCTTCACCGTAACTGCGCTGTCCTTCACATCCCTTATTTCCTGAGCTTTTAGTATGTCCAAAAGTCGTTGAAGAGATGCATCCCATTCAATCAGCCTGTTGGCGTACTTGTACCTTTTGTATAATAATACGTTCCACCATCGAATCTTTTTGCACTTTTGGACGAGATCTATGCCCTCCTTCAAATGTACTTTCAAGTTTCTCAGTTCCTGATCCGATAGGCCCAATTTCTTGTTGGATTCTTCTATATCTTTCAACAATGGTTCCAAAGAGTCTAACCTGAATTTGATGTTTTTGAGTAGGGGCTTAAACATTACATTCTTGGTGATCAGCTCCTTGAGGACATCATACAGCGCATTGAATAGTGTTCCGAGACCAGCCCCTCCGAAAAGGTCGCCTACTCCACTCATTCCTTGATTCTTTACAGCAAAAACCAACACCAAAATCAGAAAAACTTACAAAGTTTCAATCTAAAATTTACGACAACAGAAAATAACAGGGAAATTGGCTGCTGAAATGATCAGTTTTTCAGTATGTCTTCGATATTTGCGATTTGATTTCGGACCATTTGAGCCACTTTCCCAAAACAATAACAGATTAGAAACTGTGGAAAAGTGTGACACTTTTAAACTTGGAACCCAAAATAAGGAGATTCAGAAAACAAGCAATACAGGAAACAAGCAATACAGAGTTCGATATTCTCTTACGTTGTTGGTGATCAAGCAAGATAGGGCAAACAAACCATCTGCTAGTTGGCATAGAAATACTTACTTTGAAGCTCGATAGAAATTTCGGAGTTGGAGCGCGTTGACTTGAGCAATAGCTGATTGAGTGTGGAGGGAGACTTGGAAATTAACCAGGAAACTGCATTACCATGTCTGGGAAGCTTCATGGCGAGAGCGACAGAGATAATCCAACAACCATATTGTGTTCAGAGTTGTCCCACGTTGGTAAATGGCGACCAGAATTGTATTTTTCTCACTAAGTATTGTTTTTTATCCTATTAAAGTGTGAGGGCGACAGCAGCATAGAGAGCATATATGACTAATATTTAACAATTCCTCCTAACTTGCAGCTAATTGCACTTACGGTCGGCCACCATGGATTACATTTTGAAATTTTTAATTTTGCAATAAGACTCACCCTAATCATTGAAGTAAGTCTCAAAATTTAGCTTGTATTTTTCCTTTTTTTCATTTCAACCCTTGGAGGGTTCCACATATGCGCGTGGACGTGCTCTAAATTGGCCGAGCACGTAGAGCAAGACATGCTGCACGCACAAAACTCGCGAAAGACTGACAGTCGGGGGATCCTGTGCACGTGGGTCTGTCAGCCACCCAGTTGAGCCCAACGACTATTTCTTTCATCCAAGACAGTGATTCATTGGATTGTTGACTGATTCAATGGTCCAAGTTTAAAATTTATTTTATTTTTTAATTTTATATTTATAAATTCATTGATTTCAACGATTGAGATTTAATATGATCAAATTCAATAGTAAAAAATAAAATAAAATAAAAAAACCGTAATGGTCTAAATTTAAATTCAACTGCTAAAATAATTAAAAAAAA